CAATAAGGCATTGAGAGGTATGGGTAAACTTTGGCAAACTTTTAGCGCTTACAGAAGAAAACCTTTCAATGTCTGATATCGCGATCAGAGCCATGGGATATGTTTTTATATGTGCTTTCTTAATGTTTTCATATTTGCTGCTAATTTTTGCGGAAAAAGTGCCAACGCGAACTTCTCGAAGAAGATGTGAAACACTAGTATACATAGATCTTAACGTAGTATGAGCCTATCGAGAGCATATGCAAATGTTTTAAGATCTGTACAGTACCACAACACTTTATGTATTCTTTAAAAACGCAATTTCTTTAACTTGTCCATATTCTTCCTTATTTTTTTCCAATATTAACCTAATAATAACAACTTTATGACTGATCAGTCCTATGGGGAGCGCCCAGACCTATACCTATGATAGATCTCCAACAAGTTTGTAGCAAGTGAAGAATTTATAAGAAATTTCTGCATGATTTGAAAATTCAATAACTACTTAATATGACGAAAAATATTCATGAATTATCAAAATTGCAAAATAAGTGCTGTGAAACCGTTCTCATATCCTCGTCCTTTATTGTGCAATCGGTTCTTCACAGCTTTAAGAGGTACTTGCCTGCTTATTTTTAAAAGAGAAAAAGCATTTTCCTTCTGTAGCGGTAATCGCGTGGCGAGTAGATTACTACTACAAAAGGATCATATTAGTGAATTCGTTTTTTTAAAAATATTTTGTGTGGTTTGTTGGCCAAAATTTTGTCTTGTGTGTTAATTTCGTAATTTTAAAAACAAAAAAGAGCATGCTGTCAAACTCCTTTTTTGGATTGCTTCTTTACTATTCACGAATTGCTGATAAAAATGTGCTTGTAATTGGCTTTTACTGACGCAAAATGAAAATTTGAAAAACGTTTTTTTTGCTTAGTTAGTATTGCTCTAATAAAATTACCACTCACTCAACGTAAGGCAGAAGGTGATCTGTAGATTTACCCACATAATCAAACTAAGAGTGTAATGATTTATCACAAGAGAGGCTCATTCTTCCAGAGTGCATCTTAATAGCCGGTAGGTTGATAGTTGGGATATATGTGTTGACCATGACTTGGTGGAGACGGCTGGTAGGATGGATACTGAGGTTGAACAGTATACTGTAGTGGTACACCTAGCAGATCCATGTATGGACGATAAGGGGCACAGCAGGCGCATTCCGTCTTCTTGTCTATGACAAGCATCATGCCAAGGATCTCGCTCTGCAAGTGTCCTAGATTACTGTAGTTACGAGTAACTGCACAAATTTAGTAAAAAACCTCTTTCATGTTGGCTTCAAGTCGTGCAGCTTGCTTACAGCATTTGTCGCAGCTTTTTTGGGTGTAGATACCATTGCCCTAAAAGAGCATATGTAGGGTAGTCTTGATGCGAGAAAAAAAAAGAAATCAGTCAGGAACCAGCTTGAATAGGTTTTCGAGGTTCCAGCTAATGAAAACTTACATCATAGAAAACTCCAGACGAGCAATCGAGGATGTGAGGTCGCCCATCTGCAATGAATAACTTTGACTCACTATAAAATTATTTCAAGAGTTTCTTAGCATTATAGCATATTATCAATTGACCATCACTATTATCCTACCAGTTATTCAGTTGCTCCACTGCTAATGAGAAGAAGTTGAATCATTAACGCAGCTCCATACTTCATAAAGATCGTGAGCGATTGCGC